GATCAGTAGGTGATACCAAAATAAGTCACACAGAGCACACTAACAGAACTGACAAAAGGACTTAAGCAAAATAATATCTGAAAGCATTCATTATAGTTCTTTACAGAGTTCATCCCCATGAGAACCTCAACACACACCATCTCCTAGCTCCACCATTGGCTTGCCCAATATAAACTCATCTTGTTTTTCCTTCTGGTGTTGTCTACATCTAACCTTTATATTTTAATTCATTTCCAAGACCTGTTTTTCATACACCTCTCCTTGGAAGCCAATAGCTTGGTTTTATTATCCTACTGAATGGTCTTACTCTTCCTTCAAATATTTGTGTTTCCTCCATATAAACAGTCTTGAACAGAAACAAAAATAAGAGATTGATGAAAGTCCACATCTCTTCACCTTTATCTTATTGTTACAGGCCCAGCCCTAACATTCTCAAAGGCTAAGGAACATGAATGAAGGTGCTCATGTATTTAAATGTCATCAATTTAAATTTGATGTGGTCAATAAAAGTAATAATCAATTAAATAAGTATATTTACTATCCCCATAGCTTGCTAATGAGTGTTTGTTTAAAAACCTGGCAGACAGGGTTCAGGTACAGAATCTTTGCAATCCTTGGTTGTGGGTAAATTTGACAGCATGAGAAGAGCCAACACCAGGGCTCTAGTTGCAACCCGTTTGTCCTCTTCCAAAGAGCACTTTCTAAATGTATGGCACACCTGATTTCGACATTAGAATTGCTTTTTCAATGGTCCATAATGACCACTTTACTGACCTTATTCACTGACATATCATCTCTGTTATGCTTTAAAATCTCCCTTCTAGACTTTGTGTCGTACAAAGTCTCTGTGTCCTTACACCAACCTAGACAGCTTTCTTCTTTTCTTGGCACTATTCTAGGCTCACTCTTCTGTTTTATGTCTCCTAATGATCATGCTTACTCAAGCTCAGGCTTTAGTTCTTCGGTGTGATCTAAGCATTTACCTTGGCCAAGTGGACATCCGAGAAGTGTTAAGAGGACAGGAAACCAAGAGAGGGTGATATGCTGATTCCAGGAGTCGGAAGTCACTTAGGAAAAAGCCCTGGGAGAGAAAGACCCTCTACTAGTTGTCTCTATGTGTTTCCTCACCCCTAATAAAAGCCTGTCTTCATAGGCTGAATCTGTCAGCTGTGTTTGAGATTTCCCACACTGCTACCTGTCTCTAGATTTTTTTCCTGCCTTTTAATTTTTTTTAACTGGCAGAGAAAACAAACCTGATCTATCACCTCTAGATGATAATATTTGTTGGATCTCTTTTCGAGATTTCTTTTGAGGACTCATTAAAATGCTACCTTGCCAGCACATTATGTTCCAAGATTACACACAGTTGTCAAATGGCTGCCTTATGTTCTGGATTTTTATCATGGTCCAGACTTCTTAGATTGACCTGCCCCTGAGACACTCTGACTGCTGTCTCTTTCTCATTGGCCCCTGTATTGACTGGGACAAGCTAGAGCATCTCCCTAACATCACTTAGGGAAATCTCTGAGAGGGGGATGTTGAGGGACTAGGAGTTAGACAGATCCTTGATAGACAAACAGAAGGGAAGAGGGACCATGACTAGGTACTAAAGATGCTGGCATCCTCTTCTCCAAGATGGCCAGCAACCTTGTGGCCAACATGGCTAGCTTCTTCCTCACCCTCCTGACCTGAGACAAAAGCCTGCCAACTACAAACAAAGACCTGGAGGGCTTTTTTCCTTCCTTCCTGTAGGACTCTGGTCCTGATGGACCATTCCTAATAGTTCAAGGCCAGATCAGAACATATTTACGTAACAGTTGTGGGCCAATCACCTATTCTGTCTTTGCTCAAACTGACCAACCCTAAGTTAGGGGAGGAAGACCCTTTAAAGACTTAAAAACCTGAGCACTCCAAGAAAGACTGGATTTTTCAGGCTCTCAAATTCCCTATTTTGCTTTGCAGAGGTATTTCTCTATCTACATGTCTCTCTCTCTCCTCTCTCTCTCTCTCTCTCTCTCTCTCTCTCTCTCTCTCTCTCTCTCTCTCTCTCTGTGTGTGTGTGTGTGTGTGTATATTTCCTCACTACTAATAAAAGCCTGTTTTCACCAGGAAAAAAATGCTGTGTGAATCAAGCTCTAATATCTGAAAAGCAGAAAACACAAGTTATGCAAAAAGAAATTGATGGAAATTAATGGAAAAATTAAGGCTCCAAGGAAACCACAACAGAAAGTTTATGCAAGTGCAAGCCAAGAAAGGGTCCAGGTTCCAGCCCCATCAAGCAGAAGAACTTGGCAGCTTTGGCCATGTGGTTTTGAATTTAAAGTTAAGAAGGATACAGGAAAGGGGGTTATGGATTCTTCCACTGAGGTCAAAGAAAGCTGCTGAGGCCAGATGTTTGGTAAGGCAGTTTCTCCATGGAGGCCCAGAGAGGCCATTACGTGAAGCTGTCAAGGTGAAGCCAGGATTGCCTTGAAGAACCCGAGATGTTAGAGATGCCAGATACCTGACAAGGCAAGCTGCAGACAAGCCAGCCCAAGAGAGAGAAGTGTGTTGCAGTCAATAAAGCTGGAAGGAGTGGGACCCGGTCAGAGGGGTCCTTTGACACTGGACATGGAGATGCAGGGTTTGGAGTTTGCCCTGCTGGGTTTCGGTCTTGCTTTGGTCCAGTATTTCCTCACTATGCGTCCTTTCCTCCCTTGTGGGATGGTAACGTTTATTCTGTGCTATTGTATGTTGTAAGTATGTGATCTGCTTCTTGATTTTGATTTTACCGGGGTTACAGTTAAGAGACCGTCTTGAGTCTCAGAAGAGACTTTGGACTTTTAAACGATTTTGAGACTGAGACAAACTATGGGGAGTTTTGAAGTTGGACTAAATGCATTTTGTGTTATGATACGGCCACAGGCCTATGGCGGACAGGGAGTGGAATGTGGTGATTTGAATGAGAAAGGCCCCATTAGCTTATAAATTTTCATGCTTAGTTTCTAGTTGATGAACCGTTTTTGCAAAGTATTAGGAGGTGTGATCTTGTCGGAGAAGATGTGTCATTGAAAGGGGAATTTGAGGCTTCAAAAGCCCATGCCAGGTCCTGTGTGTCTCTCTCTTTGCCTACAGATTAGGATATACAGCTCTCAGCTGCTGCTCCAGCGCCATGCCTGTCTGCCTTCCACCATGACAATCATGGACTAACCCTCTAAAATAGTAAGCAAGTCCCTAATTAAATGTTTTCTTTTATAAGAAAAGAAAAGAAAAGGAAAGTAAAGAAAAGAAAAACACAAGTTATAGGAGCATCCATCCAGATAGGCATAGAGGCTGATGGAGATGAGACACAGGAAGGCATCTAGTTGATGGAGATGAGACACAGGAAGGCGTCTAGGTTGATGGAGATGAGACACGCCAAACAAGGGCAGTTCTAAAATCTGGGAACAAGTCTGGAGAGCAAATCTGGCTGAAAATAAATGAATAGAGACATTCAGAAAAATCTAAGTTACCAGAAACAGGCTGATGACTGGTGAGACAGTGTGGTGAGAAGTGTAAAGATGGGCTGCATGAGAGTCCAGAGAAAACTCCCCCAAAGGGACGTTTTGTGGCGATGGAAATTCAGCTTTCTGAGGAAAGTGGAGCGTAAATCAACCTCTTTTCATTTTGTGCCTGCATTCATATGATAGCTGCCTCACAGATTTAGTCATGATTGATCTAATTTTAATCTAATTTACACGTACCCTCAGAATAATTCCCCCTCTACACACACATATCCACTTAAAAATCCATTAAGTCCTTGTTGCATAAAACACGAAATCCCTCAGTTGACCTCTAGTTTCCTCCATTATCAGTTTTAACCCCATATTCATAGCTCCCTCTAAATCCAAATAATCCCCACTTCATTTGTTACTGGTTCCACCTTTGAAAGTTTTCTTCTTCCATTTATATAATATCAACATTTTCTATTGAAAATTATTGAAAATTTCCCTTAAAAAGCCATGTGTCTTTATGCATTTGATTTGTGAGCCACTTAACTTTGGATATCACCAAGAATGATGCTCAGAAAGAGTATGTCCTATCTCAACTGTATAAACCTGGGTAAGTTCTTTAAAATATCTGAGCCTCAGTTTCCTATCAGCTGGGAACACCTGCCTTCCCTTTAAATTGTCTATCCACCCCTTAGAGTACACTCATAGAACAGAGTAGAATCTAAATGTGAAAGTGTCTGCTGAAGGCGAGTATTGAATTCAAGGCAGCAAAATAATAAATATCAATTCTCTTCTCCTTTCCCAGTGACCCACCATTAAAAAAAAATCCTGTGCTGGAGATCAAACTCAAGCCTGCCTTGTGCCAACTGGGCCAGTGCTCCACCACTGAGCTACACAGCCAGTGTCTGGAAGACCTGTCTTGTACACGTGGAATTAGCATTTGCACAGACAGCATTGTGCCCTCCTTGACTTAAAATGAAGAAGTCTTACTTTGTAAGCAGGGGAGGCACCCGAAGCCCAGGTGTCCACTTTGTTTCAGCTTTTATTCTCCCCATCTCAGTGGCTTCCACCTTCCCCTTAAGCCCCTGGCCTCACTGATGTACCACATCTAAAGCTACAGGCCTTTTCAACAGAAATTTAATCGTAAGTATCAACAGCAACAAAAACATCATTAACGGAGGTCTGGTTACAGTACATGGACTGCTTTCTCCGTGACCTGGACTCACTCCTTCTCTAGCAGAATTTCACAAGACTCTTTACCCTCTTTCTGATAGGAGGAAGTACCATCTTCCTGTCCACTCCAGGAGTGAGATTCTCCTCGACATCTAGTTCTGTGACTCTGCTACTCACAAGGCCAGCCAGCGCCCTTTCTCTTTCTCAGGTCTCTTGCAGGATTAAGTGATGCTTATTTTCAACCTTCAGACATGACTACATTATCTAGATATTCATCACAATAGTGCACTAGCTGTAGCTTCTACACCGGGGAAGTTGCTCATCTAAGAGGCATCTCTTTTTGTCTTCTCTCTACAGGGGTGATTTATATAATAAGGACACCCACATAACCAGACCAGACTTGGAAGTAATCAAGGACTATGAACACAGATATTAAAGAAATTGATACTGGTAATAAAAAGACTGTGATAATGAAAATGCTAGTACTATAATAAATTTGTTGAAGGATAAATACATTTAATGCAGTAACTATAGAATTGATAATGGACTACTGATGGAGTTATTTCAGTTAGTACAGTAATATGCTGGGCGTTTCAAAACAGTCTATAATTTAATGTTGGTATCTGAGAATGGTATTTTAGAAACTTTTTCTCCTCCACTGGTTTCTTCAAGTACAAAAATGATAAAATTTCCATAGAATAAACTTATTGGGAAAATAGGCTAATAGTGAATGAATAGTACTTTTATTTATTTTGATTCATATGCATTTTAATTGAATAGAAAAGGCTAAATAATTCCCTGCTGAAGGTTTTCCTTCCAGAAGACTAATTGCTCACTGTACTTGCCAGTAAAGAGTGTAACAGCAAACCTGCAAAAATACTTGGACAATGTATACGATGTACCTGTCATAGTTCCTAATATATAGGAAGTGCTTACTGAATGTTAGTTTTTTAAATTCTTGCCTAGAGGAGAAGTAACTTGATAGGAATATAAATTACATATGGGAAAATATGGTGGAGATGTTAACTGGTACTTTTCCCCTGATGTTTCCTTGTACTGGAATCCTTTTCTTTATTCAGCCTGGGAGTTGTTCGTTGCTTTAAAAAATAAACTTGTTGCAGTAGAAAGATCTAGATGTGACTATAGAATGTATCAAACATAGCATCAAGGTAACAGCAAGTCTTTCCGGGAGCCATGCCCCAAATCAGAGAAGACCTGCTCAACTAGGAGAGAGGAGTGAGGTGGACTAGAAGCAGAGAGTCGTTTCCACGATGATAGCCTGAAATTGAGGTTAAATAGACATTCGATTCCATTATTAACAATTTAAGAAAGTCATATGTACTTAGTTTACTGTGCATTACGAATCTGAAGGCTTTGTTAATGGTGAGTGTAAAATGTGGCCCGTGCTCTAGGAATGGGGCAAGAGAGCTTTTAAGTGGAGACACTGGTGGTTTACTTGAAAAGGTGAAACTTGGCAGTTGAGAATTTACAGTTCCAGGTTTAAATGGAATGGAAACACCTAAGCTGTGTGTGTCAGTGCCACCAATGAGAAGTGACAGAGGTAGGATTAAAAGTGAGTTAGATAGCGTGGCTATCCTCCTATTACCTGTGTGGAATACCCTGAGGCACTTGGTTGCAGTCCACCATGACCCAGTCAGCTCTCTGAGCTCGGCCTAAATAGAGGACTTGATTCCTCCTGCTGTGCTTCCTGCTCTTTGCCTGGCCTTATTTGGAAGCTGTCCCTGAGCCTGGATGCCGGACTTATCTTAAGTATGACCTTTGACAGAGTTCCCTACAAATGCTCTCCCCCTTCTGCCCATATGATAATCAGGTAGTGTGCTCCAGCTGTATGGTAAGACCATGCTGCCAAATGCAAATTAGGTGATGCCCCACCTTCTGTTTCCATCACACTCACAGGCTGTACAAAGGTTGGAATGCTGCCTCTGCATCTCCAGGAAGAGGGAGACCCCAAATACCTGTAAGATCCGTGATCCTGAACTAAATCATTACCCAAGTCAGCTTCTCTTCTCAATTTTCTGCCAGTCAAGGGGATTGTCACATAATCAAGTTTGAAATCTTAGGTAAAACTTTTTTTTTTTTTTTTTTTAAATCAGCATCTCACCCTGTCTGGCCTGGAACTGTGTCCTGTGGTGGTAATCTAATTGTACTGAATTATTATTTTGATTG